ATTACTTCTATCCCTGCTGGCATTCATGGCAGACATGATTAATCAATCAAAGAATTTTTTTTCTTCCTGAGACAACCAGGTGCTCTAGGCAGTCCCTACTAATCGATCAAAGTTGGCATTCATTCATTCACCCATCCATTCATCTAACAAATATTGTTGAGCTTCTTCTCTGTGCTAAGGATGCATTGAACAGGCAGGTTCAGTTCCTACTCCCATGAAACTCACAGTTTAGTAGGTGATATAAGCATTAATAAAATATTAAAAAAATGGCAATTAAGAGTACAAGTCAATAGTTTTGTAGTGTATTCACAGATATGTGTAAATACCACAGTTAGTTGTGGGACATTTTCATGACCTAGGAATGAAATCCTTTACCCTTTAGAGATCCACACCCTCCCGTCCCCCACCCCCAGCTCTAACCAACCGCTACTCTACTTTCTGTCTCTACAGATTTGCCTGTTCTAGACATTTCATAGAAATGGAATCACACAATATGTGATCTCTTATGACTGGCTTCTTTCATTTAGCCTAAAGTTTATAAGGTTTGTTGCATGTATCAGTACTTTTTTCTTTAAAAAAAAATTTTTTTTTTAAAGATTTTATTGGGGAATTGGGGGAGGGAAACAGACAAATTGCTGTCCTTTTGTTCCTCGGTCTAGTTGTGGAGGACGTCGCTTCACTGGTCCATGTTGGCATCATCGCTGCACTCTTCCCGGCTGAGGCAGATTGGTCGCCAGCCATTAGACAGCCGCTCACGGTGGCTCATGGCAACTCACACTGGCTGCCAGCCACTCACGGTAGTTTACAGGAGCCCACTTCAGCCCCGCTACAGCCCACAGCATCGCCAGCGACTCACGGCAGTCCAGCTCCAGGTCGAGCCGTCGTCCACCATCCCAGCTGTAGACGGCACAGAATCACTGGCCTTCATGTGGGATCCGAACCAGGGCCCTGCTGCTCAGAGCTGGTGTCCCAAGCCAACTCCCCAACCAACGCGCCACTCAGCAGGCCCTAAAATATTTTTTATTGTGGTAAATTGACAAGTAATATAAAATTTGCCATTTTAACTATTTTTAAGTGTATAATTCAGTGACATTAATTACTTCACAATGTGCAACCATCACTGCTATCTATTTCTAAAACTTTTTCATCACCTCAGACAGAAACTCTGTACCAATTAAACAATAATTCTCTATTCTCCTCTCCACCCAGCCCCTGGTTACCCTCTGACCGACTTTATGTCTCTGAATTTGCCTGTTCTGGATATTTCATATAATGGAGTCATACAATATTGGTTCTTTTCATCTGTCTTATTTCACTTAGCATAATGTTTTCAAGAATCATTCATATTGTAGCAAGCATCAGAACTTCATTCCTTTTGATGGCTGGAGAATATTCCATTGTATGTGAATACCACATTTTGTTTGTCCACTTATTTCTTTCTTTTTTTTTTTTTTTAAGCTGAGCCATCCTGCTACCTGTTGGCAGCTCAGCGGCTGCTCAGCTCGGGCTGGACTTAAACCGCTGTTGCTCAGAGCTCAAACTCTTGAGCGAGCTCTTAACCAACTGAGCCACTCGGCCGGCCCCGTGTCCCCTTATTTCTTGATGGGCACTTGGATCATTGCTACCTTTTAGCTATGGTGAATAATGCTGCAGTGAACATTGGTATATAAGTATCTGTTTGAGTCCTTGTTTTCAATTCTTTGGGGTATATATACCTAGGAGTAGAATTGCTGGGTCCTTCTCTGTTGAGCTTGTAGATGACCCATCAAACATTTCCACAGCAGCTGTACCATCCTGCATTCCCACCAACAATGTAACGGGGTTCCGATTTATCTACATCCTCACCAACATTTGTTAGTCTTTGCTTTTTTTATTATAGCCATCCTAGTAGATATGAGGTGGTGTCTCATTGTGGTTTGATTTGCATTTACCTAATGATTAATTATGTTGAGCATCTTTTCATGTGCTAGCTGGCCGTTGTTATATCTTCACTGGAGAAACGCCTATCCAAGCTCTTTATGCACTCTTTAATTGGGTTGTTTGTCTTTTTGTGGTTGCGTTGCAGGAGGAATTCCTTATATATTCTAGATGTGAAACCCTTATCACATATATGATTTGCAAATATTTTCCCCCATTCTGTAGGGTGTATTTGCACTTTCCTGATAATGTCCTTTGACGCACAAGCGTTTTTCATTTTGATCAAGTCCAATGTATCAGTTTTTACTTTTGCTGCTCATGCTTTTGGTGCCTTATCTAATAATCCATTGACATTATTATACATTTTGCAAAGGTCCCTGTAATTTCTATGTGGAAGACAGATGGGAGGGGCTCAAGTGGCTGCAGGAAGATCATTGAGGATACTGTTATAGCTGTCCAGGAGAGAGAGGATGGAAGCTGAGATGAGGGTGGGGAAGGTGGAGGGAGAAAGAAGTAGAAGACTGGAAAAAGATTAGGGGCGGGGGAGTGTGTAGATTTAGGGGCTGTGGGAAATTCAAAGACAATGTTCAGGTGTCTAGCCAGGGTGCCTGGATGGATGGTCGATGAACAGAGAGGGAGGCAAGATTGGGAAGGCAGATCAGGAGTTCCACATGCAAGATGACACCTGTTTGACATTTGACCCATCCCCCCATGTCACAGATCTGGAAATTGAGGCCTGAGGAAATACAGTGGTTCACCCAGGATCCCCCATCACATCCTAGACAGAGGGGGATGGGATTCTAGGAGTCCTGTTGCCCGGCCAGCACACTGACTTTCAATGAGGCCACAGATTCTGGCCTCAAAGAGCTATGTTTCATCTGGAAGAGGGTGGGTTTCAGGCCAGATGGGTTTGTCCCGGGCTGCTAGCCAGTTCACAGCCCCCAGAGAACAGAACAGCTCTGTTTCATGAGGGCAGCCTGTGCCCTGACCCCAGCCAGCTGTCCTATTTGGGTCTGGTGTAATGTGAGGGCATGAAGGCACGTAGCACCCACCTCAGAGTGGCTGACCAGATGGAGGCTTATCCTCTGTCTTGGGTTTGGCATTGATCAGCACTAGATCCAGGTTCTGAGGTTTCCCCTTCTCTATCCCTTTCCTTGCTGGGTGACCTTGGGCAAGTCTCTGCCCTTCTCCAGGGTTTGGTCTTTTCATCTGTAAAATGGGGACATCCTAGAGTATGACTTTTGAGCCCCTCAAAGTTGTAGTGAATATCAGACAAGGAAATGGACAATTACTTTGTAAACTATAAAGGGCCTAAACGTCTATCTGGGTGGGCCCAGTCCTACTTGTGCTCCATGCCACTTCCCGGGGCACTGCTAAGGCTTTGCTCCTTCACAAGATGGCCACCTCTCTGGAGAGGAAAAAGGCCTGGTGTAGAGCTCAAGGATTCAGAGGTCTTATCATCCTGGCCCGGCAGGCTTGACAAACCCATTGGACAGATGGGGAAAACTGAGGGGCAGCCATCTGCTCAGAATCCCCAGGCTGTTAAGCCTGGATTCAAAGGCAGGGCTCTCTGAGTCCAAAGATGAGAAATATCCTTATCTCTCCAATGTCCCCAGTGGACAGAGAGGGTAAATCGAGAGGGCAGGTAACATGCTTCGGGTCACATAGGCACAGCAGCAGGGTGGAAGTAGCACGTGAGGTCCCTGACTCCCAGGTTACACTACTTCTACCACTCTTTGCCCACCAACCTCTGGAGCTTGAAAAAGGGGCTCTCATCACAACGGGATATTCATAGTTATGTTACTGGCAGACGTGGGGTTCCTTGTCAGTCCATCTTCCCACCAGAACAGGTTTCAAATTTTCTAAAAAAATCCCACAGAGGGACATTGTATTTCCGTGTCCTCAGAGCAGCCTCTTGGGGGCTGAGGCTTTGCTGATGCAAAGCTGTGTTTTCACTAATGGGAGACTCTCCAGGGCGGGCCACCCCATGCACCCACCATGGTCAGGTTTAGGGCAAAAGTCAATAAATCAGGTCTCTTGGGCCTTCAACAGACAACTGGGGATCCAGAAAACTAAGTAGGAAATCTACATGATTCAAGGAGAGAAAAATGCTTTGGGAATTCATTGGTGGCCTCTGGAGACATTTCTTCATTGATTCGTCGGGTAATGAAAGCAGGGGCCGACAGGCTGGTGCCCAAGTATAACACTAGATACCGTTTAATGAGCACTTACTATGTTCCAGGCACCTTTCTAAGGGCTTTCCACATTATTAACTCATTTAAGACTTACAGCAAACCTCTGAGGTCTGATTATTCTCACTTTACGAATGAGGGGACTAAGGCACAGAGAGGTACCATGATTTGGCCAAGGACTCACAGCTTGTGAGTGGCGGAGCCGAGGCAGGAACCCAATACGCCCAATTCCAGAGCTGTGTGACTGACCTTTGGACAACACTGCCTCGTGTGCTACAGGAGACCAGACATGAGTGCTGCCCAAAGGACCAAGTCCAGCCTAGCCAAGGCTCCTGGGTACAGGGCAGGGGCCAGGCACAGCAGGACTGCTGAGGCGACAAAGCCTGTGGCCACTGAAGACCCAGCAATCAGCCCAGGTTTGTCCGAGGGTGAGTCTGAAGCATCAATTGTATCAAGCCCCAGCTCTGCCACTCACTGCTTGGCGCTGGGCAAGGCACCACCACACCTTTCTGAGTCTCCACTTCCTCCTCATTAAAAGTGGGTAAAATTAGTATTGGCTTCCTAAGATGGTTGTGAAAAATTCAATGAGCCCTGTAAAGCCTTTAAAGGGCTTAGCATCAAGCTAGGCACAAAGAAAACACAGAATAAATGTTACCTATTAGTGTTATTATTATTCATTATTTTTATGTTACTATTCATGATTATATTTCATTTCTGCACCTCTTTTCCTGCTCCAGGGGCTGCTGTGAGTAGACAGAGGGATGCACAAGATGGCTTTGGAGACCCCTCCATCCCAAGGCTTCTTGGACCATCCACCCCCCTCTTCAGCCCCCCTCATCCCTCACAATAGCTATAGTCTCTCTGAAGTCAGTTTCCATCCTTGCACCCCAGGTACCCTGCCTCCCTGCCTGTGGTCCCCACTGGCTGGATGCTGTTGCTATAGCAACAGCATTTTCAGAGCTTTAGGCCCCCCTCTGAGGCTACAGGCGTGGATGGAGATGGGCTGATCAAATGGTCTCCTGCATTTTCAGGCCTGTCTGGATGGAAGGCGGGAGAGTGGATGCAAGCATCAGAGCTAACTTGGGGTGGGGAGGGCCAGCTCAGCCCCCAGCCCCAAGTGTTTCCAGATAGCAGCCCCCACCTTACCGTGTCACATGGCAAAAACCTGAGCAGTTAGTTACAAATGCAGATTCCAGCCATCGCTGGCCCCAAGGGTCCGATTTTAATTATCTGGGGTGGGTCCTCCCACCTAGGAAGCTGCCTTAAATCAGCTCTGCTACTGGTTCTGAGGCAGACAGGCCCAGACCGAACTTGATGAAATCTGGAGCCTTGGAAGATTCCGGAAGTCATTTTGGGCATTGAGGTTTGTGTGTGTCTCTCTGCGAAGATGACCCCTGAGAAGTCCCATTTGTCTTCCTAGGCCTGCTCCAGTCCTGTCTCCCTCTCCCTCCATGGCCTCATCTGTGGGAGGACATGTGCCCCACCCTTTTCCCGGAGACGGGAAAATTCCAGGGCTAGGCTGCCAAGGCCATGTTGGCAGTGCATCCTAAGGCAGAGACAGGGCACACACTCTCCCAGGATAATGACAGGCAGGGTTGGTGCTAGCAGGGGTTACTCTGGGCAGGGTGAAAGGCTCGCTGTCTTCCTGATACTCTGAGCTCAGAGATGTAAAGGCCTCTGCCCACTGTCCCCAGCCTTCCGCCCCCACCCCCACCCCCTGAACCACCTGTTGGAGAGGACATGGCTCCGTACTCTCATCTGGCCCGTACCACCAGCAGAACCCGTGTCTCTGAGCACCAGAGGCTGTCCCTAAAGGGAGGTGAGGCTTGGGAGGGGAGAAGTGGATGGTAGAGTCTGAGGAGATGTGATGGGGAGGGGAGAAGACAGACAGATTGAGGGTTCTCTCTGGGGTGCAAGAATAGGACTGCGGGGTTCCTTGAACTTGAGAATGATGGCCCGTGTTTGTTGGAGTTGCCAGGTGAAAGTAGAGATACAGAAGACATTCCCTCGCCCTTCCCCCTTCCCTGGACACTAACTGGCCTCCAGCAGGCGACTCTCTTTACCCGCGCGGCCAATGGTGCCAGTGAATGAATACATAGCATGGGGTGATTTGCTTGAAAACATCCCCTTTATTCCTGTCCTAGACTCACCTCCCTGCTCCTCCCCCAGTGGTTCTTGGGATCACTGTCAAATATGTGTGCGCTGGGATCCTTGTCTCGGGGTTTGTTTCCGTAGGACCCTGAGACCGGACGCCACTCCCGAATCTCCCACCCGTGGTTCCGTATGAGGACAATGATGCCCCTTGTGTCCCAAAGCGGAAGCTGTGTACCCTTGAACTCCAGCTGGGAACGTGGCCTGCCTAAGGCTGAGACCTCTGGAGGGGGTCTTCGCACAGGGTGATGGAGCCAACCCCACGCTCCACTGCTCCCTGTCCTGAGCGCCACTCTTTATTCTCACTGTGTGAGCGCTGGGTCTTCCCAGAGTTTCCAGGCGTGGTTCTTGTCCCCTTAGCACAGGCCAAGCACACACCGAGTGCTCAGGTGCCACGTCCGTCCGCCTGATGGGCTCGGTCTCTCTGTAGCTGGGCCCCACCCCAGCACCCCCTGGAGCCTGGTGCGGTGGTGGGGACTCCCAGCTAGAGGGAAGCAGGGGGACTTGTCTGGGGTGAGTCCTCCAGAGAAGTCTGTGAGTCTGTCCCCTCGGAGGAGGAGCTGACCCCCATGGGGTGGGGGGTCCGATTCTGCCTGGGGAGCCGGTGCCAGGAGAAGAGGGCGGCAAGAAAACGCTCAGGGGCAGAATCAAGGGGCTCATGGGGGCCCTGGCCTTCATCAGCCTCTATGGCTGGGCCAGCATCCTGGGGCAGAGGGCCTGCCCGGAGATGTCTGTTCTGTCCCCTTCTGGGGGCCCGAGGAGGCCAACGGGATTTTGGCGAAGGATTCAAGCCCAGTGTGTCCTGGAGGGGCAGGTCCCGCCTGTCCTTGAAAGTGACTTCTCCATTCAGACCCTGGCCCTGGGTGGCTGCCCCTTGCAGTTCCGGGTGTGCCGCGTGGGCAGCGGGGCCCGCAGGGCACGGACAGTGGGCCAGTGCCTTCTTCAGGAGGGTCTGGATCTCCCCATGTCTCATCCGCGCCTCCCCCCACAGGTCCTGGCCCAGGCCTTCCCGGCTCAGGGAGGCCGCCTGCAGCCCCATGGCCGTGAGCTTCTCCGCAGGGAACTCGGAGGCCAGGCGCTGCAGGTAGCGGTGGAGGCGGCGCTGGTCCCCAGGGCTGGCCTTCTGCGCCTTGCCCAGCTGGAGCTGGGTCATCAGGTCCTGACAGTCCATGTGGAACCAGGTCATCTGGGAGACAAGAGACGGAGGTGGGGTTCAAGCCAGGAGCGGGACTATGGGGGCTCCATGTGGTCAGGATGTATCTTCTCTGAGCAGAGCGAGAGCTCGAAGAATAAGTATTGCTGGATTAAATGAATAATGTGCCCTCGCCCCACAGGTTAGGGCCCCACTCAGGTGGCCATGACTTTATCTGCTGACAATGATGACAGTGGTTTCCCTCTCTTCCCCAGGGGACACACACCTGCCGCCGGGAAACGGTTTCCAGCACCCTTGGGAACATCAGGCACAGCCGAACACACCTAGGGGCCAGCAAGGCTTTACAACTCTTTAGGGCTCAGTGTCTCCTTCTGAACAATAGAAGGTGGTAGGAGACAATCACAAAAAGCTTTTTGAGAGCGGCCCATTTGGCTTCTCGGGTTCCATTAACCCCGTATGAATGGTACTGAGGGAGGAGTCTGGTTAATATGTACTGAGCACGGCCTGTGTGCCAGGCTCTGTGTGTCTCATGTCTGATCACACTGAACGGTGCCAGCAGCCCACTTGACAGAGAAAGAAACTGAGACGTGAAAGCACTTGCCCAGGTCACACTGCAAGTCAGGGAGGAGCAGGGATTTGAGCTCAGAGAGTATCTTCC